CCGCTCAACCTGTACAGTCAGGACTTACCATTCCGATCCGTTACTTTTCTGTACCAATGGTAAATATCACACTTCACCCTTTCTGATTATTGGGTCCGCCTCTGGTAATGTGCATAATAGTCACAGGCTCATTTTAAATAGGCTTTCATTTTCCCCTTCCCCCCCGTCCCCCCCCAGTTGATAAAATAACCCTTTCCAGCCCAAATTCTGAAAAGTGCCCTTCATGATAGACCTATTCTAAGCAGCTTTTACACTTTGTTTTTAAAATCACCATACAAACATAAAAAGACAACATAAAACAAAAAGCCATGAAAAAAATAAAACCTGTCATTAGCATGTGACACTGACCAAAAGTAGCCCATACTGTTTCATGAACAGTTCACAAGGACTTCTGCAGTTTCATATTCGATATTGGACAGAGGTACTAAAAAGGGCTGCCAGTCTGATCTGTTAAAGCTGGATTCTTCATCAAGCCCGGGACTGGAAAGGGTTACAATTCTTATTTTTCCTTTAGTGCTGATGATTGTTATTTCCATTTTATTTCTCTTGTTTCCTAGATGGACTCCCCACTGAGAAGATCACCCGGAAGAAGAGTATTCAAAGGTGTCGGGCTTCCGATAACTCTGCCGTCGTCGGTGCTCGGGGGTCCCCAAAGGCTGCTGGAGTACTGGGGCACCCCACCCCACAGCAGGTCACTGCTCCCCTTGCCCCCCAGGCAGGGAGTGTTCCAGTGCCCGGCGTCGCTGCGCACCAAGGCGTGAGAGCTGCTCGAGGAGCCCAGGCGGGTCTGGTTGGTTCCAGTGTTGGACTGCCAGCTGGAGGTGGGCGGCAGCGGCTGGCCTTGGGCTAAGAAACGGTTGACTTCTTCTTCACCAGCAAACTCGGCCAGGATGGTAGTGTTTCCCAGGACACACCTGGGGATAAAAAACAAAAGGTGCGGCCATGTGAAACGAGGGGCACAAAGGGAACTTGGGAAGTATCCGAGGTGGATGTAAACACACGCTCCCCCGAGTGGAATTCGCGGTGAAGAGTTATGCCCCATCTGCTCACCCTTACCAATCTCAGTCTCAGTTTTAAAGCAAGACTACTCCGTCCTATTTTCTATTTACCTTTCTACATCCATAGGCAGACACACAAAGCCGTATGTGTGGAGACCACGTGTTTAACTAACGTGCGTCACGGGAGGCATCACTGTATCTTTAGGCATAAAGATACAGGCACAGCAGCATTATCAGTAACAAATGTCGCCAATAATGACACATTTATTATAATACATTTTCAAAACTTAGTTCTCTTCACATTAATTTGTCCTCAAAGAATATATTCTAGTATTTAAATCCTGCAACAGACTCAATCATTTGCTGTGTATTTTAAAATCAACTAACCAGGAAAAGAAGTCTATCTCTTTTCTTTTCTTTCTTTTTTTTTTTTTTTATCTGCCAGACATATGAGCAGAATAAAATTCAGACACCTTACAGCTCAGGATGACTACAGCCAACACACTCGATGGTAACTTTTTAGTTACAGCAAAGGTTGAAATGCTGCTTCTAAGTCTGTGCTCGAGCACCTAGTAACACTGCCTCCTTTCCACACTTTTGCATAAATGCTATAGCTTTTATTATCTCTAAGCACTGGGCAGTGGGACGTGTAGTAATTACGAAGTCCCTTTGCTTAAAAAGATAAGATACAAAATATAGATCTGACAATGCTTTATATAACGCAGCAAAGCAAGTTCTGGACCATGCGGTGTGTAATTCCTCCTCCTTTTTTAAATATTCTCAGAAGACTTAGAGACTCAGAAAGATTAGAGAATCCTTCTTTTTTCACATGTAATGACCAAGTATGCTTTAATACCCTTAGAGGTCTTAGCCTGTTGCAATGTTTAACATTAACTCTTCAACGTACAGTTCAACTCTTCTGTGCCAAAGGCTTATTCCTGCTTTTAATTAAAGATATACTCGAAACCCACTGGCTGTGTTTGGAACACATTTCCAACATCTGCATTCTGAAAATCAATTTGTACTTCAATGCAACTCACCACTCATCCTACAAAGTTGAAGGTATTTTCTTCCCCGTTTCCTGAAACCTTACTTTTCTTTAACACCATGTTTAAAATTAATTTCCTCAGTATATGTTTGACAAGAATAACTGCATGACTAATGCAATGGATGTGGAAGTCTTCCAAGAACCTAGCTTCTTTTCTTTTCTTCTAGAATTTATTTTGCAACCTAATATCCTTTAAAGGAGAATGGAGGATAAATCTACCTGCCTAAACCTCCATGTCCTCTGTATTAGTTCAGTCTCACCGCTGCATGGCAATGGTAACTCCAAACATACACATTAACAACTACACTTTCGCTGGAATACAGGTGTTTTTGAAACGGCTACTCCCCCTCACCTCCCCTAGCAGCCTCTGGTTTGGATGTCGTCAACAAGCTGGGTTTGGGCAAACGCTCCTTGCTGAAAATCACATCTTAAGCATTTCCACCTTTCCTAAATATGTAAGTGACAAGACACAAACACAGTCTTGGAAAACTACGCATTCTTCCGGAAATTTTAAAATAATTTTTAAAAAGTATTAATCACTGCTGCTCATTTACGTATCAAACCCCACACATGACCAGAGATGGAGTGTGTGAGTGAGCTATTCTCGTATCAAATCAGCCGGGATCCGAGACTGTTGGCTCTGCAATGTATTTTGCAGTGATCAGCTCCACATAAACATTTATCTGTGAAACAGATAGTGGCTGGTATCTCTTGGAACTCTAATACTGTCCTTTGGCTTCCACAAATCCCGCTGTATTTTACCATGACACCCTGCCAGCAAACCAAACACATATATAGCTCAACCCTTTCCATTCAGAAAGGTCTGTCCTGTCCTTGCCAGCAGTGTAACTATAGTTATGCTACAACCTATTAAAAAACACAATTTAAACGGAGGCCTTCCAAATCACCGGTAATGTAAGGACATTACCATGTACGTATTTAAAATAAGCACTTATCTTTAAACTCACATATTAATTTTGCCTTTGGCATTCTTTCTTTTACCTGCTGCCCACATTTCAAGTGAAGTAACTAAGATGGGTCAATTTTTCACCTCCAATTGTTCTGAATGCTGCTTCGTAATATTGAATTAAGAAATGGTCAACCATTAAGAAAGCAACACAGTCATTAATATAATTATTATTACTACAATTTCTGTTAATCAGGTTCATAATGGGAAAGTAGTTGCAACTTTACGTACGGAGTAACCATTGCTCCTACATCTCTAAGTACAGCGAAGGTAATCAGGCCAGTAGTACGCTCCAAATAATGTTTCTGCTATGATCAGTATTTCTCTTTATACTCATGCTATAACCTGTTAATAAAGAAAATTGCTTTCCAAATCTAAGCACCTAAGTATCCTTTTGAAACATCAGTCTCAAAGGTGACTGCCACGAACACATTATTTATCATCGTTTTGCCCTTTCTGTTGCTCTCTAAGCTAAAACCCTGTCTCATGCTCTCTTCCCTCCGAGCTTCCTTTGGAATTCTTACCACATCTAACAAATTCTTTGCAGTCTTATAGATGACAAATTCTTACTTGAGCACATTATTAATGGGGAATAGCTACTATCAAGTTTTGTAATGACCTCTTATTTGGTAGTGCATGAGTATCTAGCCTCCAATTATTTTTTTCTCTCTCCCATTAGGTAATTTCCAAAATCCGATTGAACAATCAGTTCTGAGTCCTAGCAAATAAATGCCTAAGAAAATAGTTTCTGAGATAAAACTGGCTTCATAACAAAGGAAAGAGAGAGCAGAAACGTACATATGCAGAGACTTTTGGGCCTTGGCTGCTTCTTCCTTGGAGCTGTATCGGACCACAGCATTCCCTTGCGTCAGGTTCAAGTGGAATGTTATTAGAGGGCCATGTTGCAAACACAGTGTCCGCAGTGTGGAACCATCAATCTGGTAAGAGGGAAGGGGGGAAAGGTTATCTGTAATTTTTTAAATTTTACTTTAAATGCTTGTTAACTAAACAAGTTTTAAAAGCTAAAGAGTAAGTCCAGGTGAAAGAAGGGAAAAAAAAAAACGTTTTCTTCCATAAGAAGAATTTAATTATAGACTTATCGCTGTCCTGAGTGAGACATTCCCTATATTACAGTGCACAAAATTTCCCAATTTAGCTGAGACAAAATATAGTTATCATTAGAAGGTCACAGAAGTCCAGAAATAAGTCAACAGAAACCCACATTGTTCATAAATATAACTAAATTTTCCCCAAGATTAATTTGGATGCCTACATTGAATGCTTTTGTGGCTTATGTCCTTCCTTGTGAATGACACTATGTGGAGGACTAGAAGATTTGACAGTCTTAAGAGCAAAAGAAAAAAAAAAGCCACCATAGGAAAAGCCGATTTTACATCTCCGTATCTGCTTTAAAACACCCTTCACCTCCAAACTTACACATACATGAATGGTGCACACTGAATGACTAATTACAGTCTTAAAAGTTCATACTTGATTTGACAGCACGTTGAAAACTTAACAAATTCCCTGTAGAAGACAGACACTTGTAATAAATGCAGAATAATTATTTTCCCTTCAAATGAACCAAATGACCAAGGTTGATAAATGTTCTTATCATTTCTTAAATTTGACATTCTCTCTTCAAAAGTAGTTATGTACAATTCCATTTACCTGGGGCGTGAGGTTTCGAAGAACCAGCCAGCTGCTTGTTCTCCCTGAGCTGTCAGTACTCCATGCAGAACCTACAATACAAATTCCACAACAAAACATTTTATCATGATGAGGAGAGCATATTACAAGAATAAAACTTATCTGGAATTAAACACCACACTAGCAAGTGTTATTGCTACTGAAAACGAATCCTACAGCAGTTTCCTCACATCTTGATTTATCGTCGTCTTCAGAATGAAAGGTTGCTGAATGAAAACTTCCTTTTGTTACATTTACAAGATCCGTTGCATTTTTCACATTCCCACAATAGCTATTAGAAAACTAGCGGATGCAGGTATGACACCGCAACAAACTGTATCTTCAGGTTACATTAGAATTAATTCGGAAGACCCATTTTAAAAGCAATTCAGATGTCCAAGCTCAGATTGCTGCTTGCCATTACAGATTTTTATAGCACTGCGGCAGTCTGCAATCTTGCCAATGATAGATTAATGCGTACGACTTATTCAAAACAGATATTTCTGCATTGACAATGTTCTGATTAAAGATACAAGGACATAACGAACAAAACCTGCTTTTCCAACTCCAGCCTGGTGTTTTACAATGAGAAGCTGTACAAGATTGATATTTATGAGTGGCATTTGAGAAACCGCAGTACTTTGGTCATCACAGCCGTGACCACGCTCGGGCTCCAGAGGATCCTGGCACTAGCAGTAGCTTCCCACCAGGTGGGGTTTGGCAAAGAAAACCCACACAAAATAAATGGCAAGAAGAGGGAAGAACATTTAATTCCCAACTTAGTGAAAGCAGATTAATAAAATAGTCGGCTTTATAAAATAGGTGTAATACTTCGTTTTTCAAGCTGACAATACTTCACAAACAAACATGAGATATATATTTATATAGCCAGATTCATGGGTTTCTCATGTTTGTATTTAAGCACAACAATGACATCCAAAAATAGCCTGCTTGAAAAAATTAAGGCGTTCCCTGAGGGCCCAGCAATGCCATCAGGTCCTAAAATGCTTCACTTCTATGGTCCAAAGATGTGTTCCATATTAAATTCCACGGGTGGATTCGCTCGTCTGGAAACCTCGTAGGCAGTCATAGATCATACCACAAAACAAGAAACATGTTTAAAATGTATTTTTAGAAATTAAGGAAACGGAAAAAAAATTCTAGTTGGAGTGAAATTATTTGGCAATTCCTACATAAAATTACTAATGCAACCACCTGAAAGTGACAGCTTCATTTTTACAACTTAGCGTAACTAAAATAAACAGACATGAGCTTCATCCCCAAAACAGACACACTCCGCTTGTATTAAACCTCCAGTTTCTGGAGCCACCCAGCTACAGGGTGCCTCGCTACTGTAACACAGAATAAAAGCAAACAATTATAAAAAGGCGGCACCGTGGTGTTATAAAAAACAGAAGTCAGGAGTACCAGAGGAGTAAGAGCTGGTCCAACCCAGGGGACTGGCACCCCACGTAGATGATGGCTTGGTGTTTGTTAAGCCTGGAGGTGGTCTCGTAGGAGCAGTAGTGTTTCTGGGTACCTTCCATAGTTCATGGGATAGAGAGGCTTGTGTGTGAGAGATTGGGCCAGAGGACCATGTAGACTTGATGTCTGACAATTTACCTGTGATTGGGGGGAAAAAAAAAAATTGGGTATTTTTAGTTAGCAACAGCTGTTAAACCAAGTAGGCTGCGTAGTCATCAAGCTTCTGCATCGACTATGTTCTTCCAACTTTTCAGGACACAAAAGAACAGCATTTTGTATCATCCAGTGATGGACATCTGATATCCTTTGAACCTACTTACACTAGTATTTACATTTTCAAAGAATTTTGCATTTAATGAATGTAACAACACCTGCTAGATATACAGCTCCCTTTTTAAAAATCTTCTATTATTTCACTTTCTCGTAAGACAATACATGAAAAAAGACCAGAAAATGGACTTAAGTATTTGAAATCTAATTTCATCAAAATTATAATGAAACACTTTGAGATTGTCCCACTCAAGTTTCATAGAACTTAATGACTTTTTCTTACACGACTCATTTTATCTAATATAAAGTAACCACTACATCCATATGTTCTTCTGATATATTATTAAAACTCCAAAGATCAAAGACCAACAAAAACTGTCTTTCTGAATATTCAAAGTAACAGATATTCTTTTTTCCAGGTGTCTTTGAGAAAACTGAAGTGTTCAGAAGGTTAGACCATATCACAGCCTGTCACTCTTTGTAACTTTTTACTGTTCTGCTTGTTACTTCCCTGATCAGTTTTTAAACTTACTACTGTTCCTCCCAAATCAGAGTTTTATAAAATACTGCAAAAGCCAAGAATAAAAAATACAGTTTAGCAGTCATAGTGGCAGAAAAAATTGATTCAAATTATGGATACCAAACCCCTTTGTTCACCTTTAGACTCACACATCCCTGTCTTTCTTCCTTGTACCAACATATGTTGTGAAATTAGAGTCCAATTTCCTTGCCACAGCACAGTCCCACCGTTCCTAACATTAGCAGCACTAGACTGGAACGGACTGGAATGGTCACATCATTGCATCCTCTGCCAGAGCAAATGATACTGTGATTATGCTGCCTTAATGCTTTAATGTTGGCTGCAGACAGTAAGAAAATACTTGGTCTGACAAAGTCCAAGATGCAAAAATCTTGTGATTTTAAAAAAAAAAAAAACAGATTTGAACTGGCTCATACTGAATCAGTGCTTTGCATCAAGCATCCATTTAGGTTTTTTTTAGTCCTAAAGCAAAATTCACCAGTCACCAAATCCCAGCCTCAGTTATATACACACACACTCCCCAAATTGCCTCTATTTATCTGTATCTCATAACTCAATGATTTTATACTGAGTCATAACAATTCAAGTGAAAAGGCAACCACTCTCCCATCTTCCTGCAAACTGTAGCAACAAAAATAATTTGACAATGATGATGAAGACATTAGCATGGGTAAAATGGTGGGGAGGAAGGGGGAAAGTCTGAGTTTTATAACTCAGAGCAGCTCAGCCTGCGATGTAAGACATGATACATGCACATTACCACAGATTAAATGTTGGTATGTGACTACTTCTCATGGGGTTAACACAAAGATTAAGTGACACTGCAAAACAAATAAAAAGCAAGTAAAGCAGAAATGCACGGCAGATAAAAGAAAAGCAAGCCATTCCTTTCTTTTCCTTTCATTGGAGTAAAACATTTCAAACAAATCCTTTTTGTTTTGCATTCTGCAGTATGACCTGGAGGCTGCAATTTCATTTGTTCAAAGCGGAGGGTTTTCATCGATTAGGTATGAAAAAGCTAATACAATCCATATAACAGCTCCAACACATTTTTGTAACAAACTGCATTTAGGTAGCCAGTTTGCAAGGAAAGTTTCCAAGATTTGCAGAGAAAAATGTTCCAGAATTTATAACTCATTAAAAAGAATGCAGTGATTATTTAGACCATCTATAAGCTCAGCCATATACGGGAGCATCAGGCTTGGACTGACTATTAAAAGACATTTCAGAGCCCCAGACCCAACCCCTCCACAGCCAGAGTACCTCCCTTGAGGTACTGCTAAACTTTGTCCTGAGCTGAGGATGGTTCACTTTTAACAGTGAGTTAATTAACAAAAGTTTCATATCAGCTCTTGCTGGAAGGGTCTAGTTGGGGTGCTTCTACCGAGGTCCTAGACAATAGTGTATTCATCCTCAAAGTTGCACTGGAAATAATCATTACGAGATGCTTCTGTCTATAGCAGCACTACTGTAATAACTGGGAAAGCACTTTCTAGGGCCTCTTCTCAGAATGCAGAAGGATGTGAAAGTAGAAAGGCCATTTTTCGTACCTGCAATGCTAGGTGCGGATGCAATGCTGCTGAAAGAGCTACTGTAGCCGGAGGCACTAAGCGGCCAGGCACTCGATGAAGGCAGCGTGGCATTCTGAGATGATGTTGGGGATGACCCTGCAGAACCAGCAGAGAAGCAACTAAGAAAGATGGGCATAATGATGTTTGGTGTGACATAAGCGTATCTATTATGTGCAAATACAAACCATGCAAGGCATTGTCCTTAATCAGCCTGGTGTCTGAAGTCTACGAATGAAATGTTATAGAAAGCATGATAAAGTGAAGCAGAAGTCTTTAGTAGAAAAGAAAGCTGGCACAGTAGCAAACGTACTAGCGTCTGTGCAGAAGATAAATTCTGTGTTTCCTTTAAGATACGTTAATCTTCAAAAAAATCAGTGTTAAACTGTTTAGTCTCAAGGAACAGGCTTCATTCATAAAGGTGCTCTGCCGGTTGACTTAAGCAATGGCAACTGTAGATGAGCATAGATGTGTATGATAAACTAACCTCTTACCATAGGTGATTTGTCCTAAATTACTCGAGGTAAGCACTTCTCCTACATCCTAATGCCCACAAACATCTTCAGTTTTTTGCAGACTTTCAGTAAAGGAAGGATATATTTTAGCAATCTCTTCTCAAACTGGTAACATTAAATGAAATAGCCTGAAACTATCTTGATAAATCATTTACAATCTGAGGAGCTATCTAAGCATACATACCATTTCCTTACTGGCAGCAAGTGGGAGAAACTGAACATAAAATAAAATATCTTCATTGTAATGACCAGAAGAGCTGGAAGTATTCTCTCTAGCCACCAACAAAATTAAGTGTGTATCCTAGGTGACTTATCATTCCTGACATACACGGACGGACTGTGATACTGAAACATCTTTAACTGACTAATAAAAACAGGTGAGCTCTTTGGAAAAGAGTGCTGTACTGAGGTAGAGAGGAGGAAGTAAAAGGACACTCTCATCCCTCACAGCTCAATAAAAAATAACACAGGCTATATTTTCAACCGGAAAAGCAACCAATCAAACTGTACCTTACCCAGACTCCCTGCACTCCAAAGGACACCAATACAGACATCAGTCTCAAGCAAAGTAACTCTACATCAAGGCCTTCTCCGGAAAGAATCTATTCCCCAGGCAGGAGTGAGGGAATTATATCAGATTCAAAGGCCCATATGCCCACAGAGCTGAAACTGTTTCTGATTCCACGTGGCTAAGACATTCAGCTCATAGTAGCTGACCCTGCAAAGCTTCACTAGCAAACAGGGCAAAACAAAAATCCACCCACAAGCTTAGGTTTTGTCTGTTTCTAAGCATACAGTACAAGGGCGGCATACACCGCAGCCTGGCCTCTAAATGGAGATCAGCTCCGTTAATACAATCCGGGTACTTCAAGCTGCAGTATTCACAGACAGTCTCGTCCTGGCAGCACGTCAGGAAAGCCTCAATCTCCTATGGACGGGTACTGGTAATAACAGATACTTTTACCTCAGAGCAAACACCTAGCTTATACAAGCGTAAAGAAACAGATTCAGTAACTACATTTTTAAATTAAAATTATATTATTAGCAAGCTAAAAAGCTAATGAGGAAAGGAAGCATACATGGACCCCAACAGCCACTGCTTTTCAGAAGGTTTTGGCTCTCGAGGGCCTTTTTACTTCTGCAAAGATCATCTATAGTGACCCTCTTCAAGTAGCATAATTATTTCTTCATTCCACAGACAGATAATACACCAATAGAGCTAATGTATACTTTCCTTCTATAAGGAAGGAAGACCTGTAGTAGGTATCCTCTAACTTACAGGTACAGCTCTGTAGGGCTAGGCTTTTGGCCTAAGGGGAGTATTTTTTGGGTGCAGCATATCTGAACCATGACTGAACTATGTCTTTCTACTTTTCTTTTGGTAACTTCACACCATGCAGGCTGCCTGCCCTGTGAAGATTTGGGTCATTAAAAGTTAATTCAACATTACTTATGTACACAAATGGTTCAGCTTAAATAGATTGCCTTCTGGTAACCCCAGAATCATTCCAGGAATGAAAACCCTGCCTGCTCCCCCTCACGTTTCACATCCCTTCACCTGAGTTAACAAGCCCCAAGTGGGAAACCTGTTTCAAGGATAGTTCTGATTTACAATCTATGCAGGTATCACAGATGCAACGACTAGAATAAAATCCGTATTTTTAATCCTGAAAGGTCCTTCCTGACCACCTGACTGTACCGTTCCTGTGCGCATCAGAGTGCGCTCATAGAGTGCAGGCAACTTGCCTATTTCAGCATGCTGATTGCAACTAAACCAAGCCACCTTTCCCTCGATCCACTTTCAGTACATCTAGTTAACAAGCAGCACAGCCCCAATGGTTTATTGTTTTAGAGAATAGCCTTTTATTTCTGGAGCAAGCACTGACAAGACAAAAGGAATGGAAATGGCACTGGGAAATACTAGTTCACTAGTCAATTCCCTATTTTTTTCTTTGATAGTTTTGGGGATAAACCAGCTCTAATTTATTTTGCTAACTGATCTTCTAACAAAGCTACAATTAGTTAGTGTGACAGAAGCCTGCTTCCTCAGCAAGAATCGTGGAACTTTTGTATTGTGCCTTTGAGTATCTCACAAAGTGTACGTAAGAGGCTGGTCGGTATGGAGAGTGAACTCTTGTTCAAAACAAAGTGTTACAGGTTATAAAAACTTCCAGTGACCACAGACATTTCTGTTACATCTCACAGCCTTTTCCAATATAAAAATATTTACATTCCCACGGAAAACCAGAAATTTACTAGTCCCATGCTTAAATCAAGTATTTCTGGATTTTCAGTGAAAGTTCAGAGCAGAAGCATTACGATTACATGCAAAAAATATACTACATCTAGTATATATGAAGTTAATTTTTTTGGCAAAAAGAAGAAAGTATGCACAGATGTGAAAGTAATTTGTGTGTTTACCTCCACTCTTGAGAAGATAGCGATTCACATCCTGTATCGTGGTGTTTATGGTCGGCCCAGTTGGAACACTTCCAGGAGTCACATCGGGGTCATTTTCAGGATCGATATTCTGCAGTCCTTTCCACGGCACTCCTGGATGAAACTCTGTTTCAAATATAATAAAAAGAAGAGTGTATAAAGTCGTAATTCTCCAAAGCTTCTGCATATCAGAAGGCAGAGGATTCAATAAATAACACCAACAATCAATTTTAAGGACATCAGTTTAACACGAACGCTTTGTATTTTGTTACCTGGTGGCCAGTTTATGCTGGAGCCATTGGAAATTTTATCACTATCGGTTTTGGCACGTGACCAGCTGTGAGGAACAGCTACGGGCGGACTGGCGGGCGATTCACTGTTTTGAATCAGATCATACCGGCCATAAGAGTCATCAATGGAGGACTTTCCCGGAGGACCAATACTTAAACCTCCAGGTATAGCACCTGTAATGAATGAAATGGAAAGGCTTTGTTTAGGAGTGGGACCAATTTTGGGTATGGAATTCAATCAGTCCCTACATTTTGTTATTATTTTCTTTTTTTTCTTTCTGTATTGAAAAGATAGATAAGAAAATTAAAATATAAACACAGTAAGAAAGGTTAAACAGCTTCTGAAGCCTTACTAGGAGTTACAGCTGTGAGATATACCACTGGTACAATCTAGACACTCAAATTCACATTACATTACTGCCAAAAAGAGACTAAGTAAATCAAATAATTACACTGATGATAAATAGGCATTTGCTGAGACAGCATACTAAGGAGTATCACTGTAGCAAGCCCCCTTCTCATCCTCCTCTAGGTATTCACTGCTGATGGGATGGATGACCTGAAATGGCCATTCTCATGCTCCTACAAACTATCAATCAACAATTTGGCGTAAGCAGTACAGCTACTTGCAGAATAAAAAAAACATTGTAAAAGACAAATAATTCATGCTGCTCATAATAAAATCCAGGATACGATAAAGTTAACAGAGCACCATGTTCTAACAGAATAAACTTGCTACAGGAAATAAAGGAATAAGCGACTCAGGATACTGGAGGTGTTAAGGATAAAGGTGTTCAAAAAGATTAGCAGTCACTTCTGGATAAATAGGAAGTTTGTGCTCCTAACTCCCAGGGTGGGTAATGAGGATTAGCTGTGAAAGGCTGATGAGATTGGAAAAACTGTTGGAGAAAGCCAACGTAAAGTTTTTTTGGATTGAAGGTATATAGATATGGAGTAAGGAGAAGCTTGTGGGACCTGTTTTGCCAACATTAATAGCTTGTTTTACATGAACTCCATGTTCTCAGCAAAAAGATTCAGCAAATGAAAAAAAACATTCCTATGCTGCACGTAGCAAGTAAGAGCTGCAAGAACTTCAAGGCATTGCTGAATGCGACTGCAGAAATCATCTTCAAAATATCATAGTCTCAAAGGGAGCTTTGTACCAATCATTTATGAACACTTACCAAAAATAGTAACGCGAGACAAAAATTACCATTGCAATATGACTCAAGTCTTAAACAGCCAGGCTGACACTGAGATTGAATGCGACATACCGTGCTTGCTGGAGTTCTGGTCAAGCGAAGAAGCAGCACTAGACAGATTATCCATTGAGTTGGGGTGTGTCCACTGAGGAAGGCGAGACTGGGACTGAGAAGTGTCCTTCACTGACAAACCACCGGTAATGTCCATGTTATTTACATTCATGTTCGGGTTCAGTCCAGCTAAGGGGAAACAGGTCGTTAGATATCCGTAATATACTGGAGGATTGAACGACGTGTTTAAAAATCCAGCTAAAGAAATTATGAAACACTGATTTACAGACATCTGTACGTATGTGTAGTAATTTACGATGCACATTTTCAACCTGCTGTCAAGAACTTTTGCTTTTATGGGAACACCATGCGGAAAATTTTAAAACCTTGCTAAAAGGAAAAAAGAAAAAAAAGATGTAGGGATAATATTTTAAAGCAAGTCAGTATTTCTACTTGCAGTCTCTTCACTTGTCTTGGAAAGACATTCTGGAAGAATGCACCAGAATGCTATGTTTAAACCGGAGAAGAATTTGCAGCATTCCATTGCTAAGCCAAAATATTCCTAATGTCTCACTAGCACACCCCCATGATGTCTGCCGTTTTATTTTGCTCACAATTTTTTAAAAACCCCGAACAAAGCAACTAATTAAAATGTCATACAAACAGCTGCTATTCATCAGAGCAGGTATTGTACTATCTGGACACGTATTTTGCATACACAGAACAAAATCACTCAGGCTATATTTCAGGAATAATTTTGACATGCTTCTGTGACACAAATCTGGGTCCTTTTTGATATATGAACCTGAATGTTAGCAGATCACAGGGAGCTTGAGATATGATAAGAACCTCTTAGATTTTGGCCTTTAATTCATAAATTCTTTTGCCTTCTGATGCTCCCTGCTATAACAGCTCACCACAGCAGTCAGAATTACCTTCTTAACTGCTGCATGGTAGATAAAGCTTGGCAATTCTATTGTACACAGCATAAAGAGAGTCACAAAGAGATTAAATTAATTCCTTTATGTCATAATGAAGTCTGTAGCATACATCAAACAATCACAGAAAACAGGTCTGAAAGGTTGTTCCGTTCACCCTGTCTCAAGGCCGAATCGATTATTTTGACATCAATCATACTTGACAGATCTATGCCTAACCTACCACAACATGACTGATGAAGAAGATTTCAGAAGTCTTCCCAGATAATGTATTCCAGTACTCCACTTTGCTTAAAGCAAGTAAGCAATCCTTAATGTTTAACTAGATCTCCTTTTATGCAACAAAAGTTTATTACGTCTTGCATTAGCCACATGCAAGAAAATTTCTTTGAAGCTATCTTTTACATTTTTGAAGATTCCTGCATGTGTCTCAAGCCTTCTCTTTAGACTCAAGTGAGCAGAAGATTTCATTTTTTCCTTACCAGCCATGTTTATGAAACAT